CAGCATTTTGACTCCTATGTTAAACCCAATTATCTATAGCCTGAAAAACAAAGAGATTAGATCTGGTGTACAGAAACTATTTGGAAAGGGGAGGCCCATTCTTTACCCATGAAACAATATTCACAGTTTTTGACTCAATATCCTTACAACATCAACAATGAGAGAAAAAATAGTTACTTACATGGCAGTGGTGTGGGCTGCTACTTTTCCCACATCCCCAGTACTATGTGTCTTGCTGTAATATGGGCACTGAGGAGAATCGTAGAAAATGTATTACATATTTTTTATCATGCAGCTATTTTTTCTGCAGATTGTTTTTCAGGTGATAAGTAATTAAAAGATCAAGTACCCTGGCCAACTCTTCTACAAGAATCAGTGACAAAATTATTTTAATTCCTATTCTAGGCATGCTGAATTAGACAGCTCCCCAACTCCTCCGGTTTAGAGTAATTTTTCCTTCCAGTTTTGCCATTGGCAGAAAGGGCAGCAGGAAATACTTGTGCAGAGAAGGGGAAAACAAACAAACAAACAAACAAAAATAACTTCTCCATATCCCTTTATCACAACAGTCAACAGCAGAGTTTCTTGGAGATTGCAGCTCTTGGTCCAACTAATTTAAGAATAATAATTTAGACACCATTTCTTAACAGATTTACTAAGGAATAAGTCCACTTAAGGAGAGCCACTTTGGTGTGGTAGTTAAGGTACCAGGTAAGAAACCGGGAGATTCTGAGTTCTAGTCCCAGAATAAATAAAAGCATCTTTGTTTAATATTATACCATTATTATACATATACTGTAACAGTTTAAATGTGAAGTGTACTTTATATATAAATAAACTAAAAAAAAAAGTAGTGCTATTGCTTTATTGAATTCCTAGAAGACCTCTTCAACCCTTCTCCAACTGGCTTAAAAAGAAAAAAGAGACCAAAGTGAGGGGATCATTAGTCCTCTAGGGTTACTCACTGGAAAGACTTTAATGTTCCTTTTGACTATCTGGCCACTCTGAATTAGAATGTCTTGCCCATCCCTCCAAATCCCTCTGAGGATTATGATGGATTCAAAAGTTTAGTAACCGTGGTAAGGAGAGGCATTATTCCAGCAAGGGGCATTTTGATCAAATGCTCCATATCTGACTGTTTTTTGGAAAACAAGGTAGCCCTACCTCCAAGTGCTTTCAAGCAGTGCTTTAGTATCTCAGTGAGTACAGCCTGTATGTTAATCTGAAGAAAAGCTCTTCTGAATTGCTTTATTTGACTGTACAATGTACCATTATTTTTCTGAAGTAACTCATATGGATCCTACTAAAGTCCAACTTATCTTGGAGACTGTTTTCTCTTGCAACATGAAACAGAAATTAGAGAAAATTCAGATGCTATTATGGCAGTTGAGAAAAGGGGGGGAGGGGAAACAAAATATATTATTGGTTCACCTAAAGACTACATAATGTTGGTTGGGGAATATGGTTTCCCAGATGGTTTTAATTGCGTGAATTCCAGAAGGAATGAAGGAACATCTCCCTTCTCTTTTTAACTTGTTCTAAAGTAGACTCACATAGTCTTAGCATGAAGACTATGTGAGTCTACTTAGCATTTGCAAAGGCTAAAGTAAGATGCAAAACAATTGTAAGCTTCATGGTAACTGCTTTGTTCAAGGTAACTGCTCATTTAAAATCTCACTGTGTTTGCAAGGAAGAAAGCAATTTTATCTATGTGAAGAAGGTAGACTTGTATCTGTCTCCCTCCCCCCCCCTTTTTTTTCTTTCCCCCTGCCTGTTTACATTTAGCCCAAAGGCTTTCCACTGAAGTAATGATCAGAACAATTGGGAAACTAATGGAAAACCTTTCTTAAAATAACTCTTCAATCAAATCTAGGAAGAGTAGCAGTACATGGATTGGGTTATTGTGGTTATTATAGACCATTACTGGCACAGACCATTGTTTTAAGGGTTCAGCTAGGATTATTCTGCTTATAATTAATAATTAGGGTTCCTTTCCTTTTCCTTCACCTTCTCCTTCTCTTTCTTCTTGTTGAGTTCCTTGTCAGGTATAAATTAAAATGAATTCAGAGTAAAATTACAGGACTCAACTTTGGGTCTGTGTTAATCCTATCAATGTTACCTTTGTGATAAACATCCATTCACACTTTTTTTTTTTTTAATCTTGGAAGAAAATGCCAACTTTTCTTTTCCCAGTTAGTCACAGTATCTAGATGCCAGTATCCAGTCTTAGTTCCTTAGTTACTGTCAAAACACTATCAGTATCACAAATCACATCTTATAAAGACTTGAGGGGAGGGGCAAAACCAAATTATAAAACCCAAGAGCTGGCAAATTGATAGAAAAAGAACAAAGTATTCTGGAAGAAGAAAGTAACAAATACCTTCTTTGTTACTGCCAAAGGAAAAAAAAATCAAAATGGTCGTGTCTATATAATCACATCCACCATGACCAGCATGACATTTTTTGGGGAGGGTGGAAGAGGTCAGAAAGGATGGGAAAGAAGCATCTGGAATACAGAAAGATCAAATCAGTGGATTCCTGTACAGAAGAGGACAGGTGTGGCCAAACCAACAAGAATTGATTGCACGACTGTTTAATACCTTGTGCTTCAACTTCTTGAAATCTCCCCATTTTAGACATTCTTAAGAAACAGATGTCTGAGATAATATCTATCAATATTTTCCTTTGGAACATTTTCTCTTGACATGAGGTATGACTTTAACCCACTTCACAAATGCATAGATGGGAATGTAAATGGTATTCACAACACATAGCAATTAGTATAATCAATGAATTGAAACATTATAACAATCAACAAAAATGTTGTTAAAATGAGAAAGGCAAGATTTGTTTGGTGAAACCTATGAAAAAAGAAGACAGAGTATCATACATTATAATATAATTCTCAATATTGATCTATAGTAAAATGTGATCTTTACATAATATATATGTTTTACTGAAGTCCATGTTTATGTTTGTATACTATATCATTAACTATATTTTATTTTTTGACAGATCTTATGTTTCCTGAATCCCCTGGGCTAGAAAATCAAACAGCAATAACAGAGTTTATCCTGTTGGGACTCTCCAATGATCCCCACATAGAGGATTCTCTCTTTTTCTTGTTCATGATCATTTTTTTAGTCACCATCCTGGGAAATATAACTGTTATATTGGTGATCAAATCTGAATTTCATCTTCAGACCCCCATGTTCTTCTTTCTCAGCCATTTAGCTTTTGTTGATATTTGGTATTCCTCAATCACTGTTCCCAGAATGCTGGCAAACTTTGCAACAAAGCAGAAAACCATTTCCTGGGAAGGATGCATTGCACAGGTCTTCTTCATTTTGCAAACAGGTTGTACAGAAGTGTTTATCCTCTCAGCAATGGGTTATGACCGATATGTGGCAATATGTGACCCCCTGCATTACAGCAGATACTTGACAAGAGAGATATGCAGTAAAATGGTGGGTGGAGCTTGGCTCCTGGGTTTCTTTTATTCTATGCTGAATGCACTGCCTTTGCTAAATCTTTCTTTTTGCAGCAACAATATCATCAGACACTATGCTTGTGAGCTTCCTTCACTCTTGGCTTTGTCTTGTACAGATATTCTCGCTAATCAC